TCGTAAACAAAAAATCAGTTTTGTGTTATGGTATTATAAGGAAAAGAGCGAATTATTGGTGATAACGCGTGAAGCGATTTTTTTTAAATGATACTTTTAGTGATGTGTCGCTTTTTACAAAGTGATTTAATAAGTATAATATTTTGCTTGAAAATATTTTGTACATAACTTCTTAATAATTTGATCTATTTAAAATTATATTTTTCTTTACTAATTATAAACGATAGTCAACGTAGACGTTACATTAGTAATTCATTTTTTTTTTACTAACAAGCAATACATAAAATAAAAGTTAAAACTCAACTTACGCTACAAAATATAAATACGATAGTTTTTGTCTTCATTTATACTTAATTGAATTAATAATAATAATGAAGATTTTTAACATTTCATAGTATAATGAATTAAATATTAAGTTTTGTTTTTAATTTATTTTTTCTTATGTAATTAGCTTTATACGTACGATGTATACATTGTATATGGAAATTTAGCCGCCAGGTTTTTGGAACTTGGCATACCTGCTGCTTTTGGAAAGGCCAATGTTGGTGGTTTGGTAATTTGTAAGTGTAAAGTACATTATAGTAAGTAATGCTGTGATCAGATTAGGTGGTTGTGATGGACTAGTGTGGGTCTATGCGATTTTTTTTATTTTTTATATAGTTCTTAGTTGTAGATGAAATCCGAATTTTGCTTTAAACTATCGAACAATTGTTAATATTTCTGCCAGGGATGAGCCATTTTAAAATGACATGTACGAATTAAAAACCCAATCTTGAATGTATGAACTTAATACGGCGGTAATTTATTTATTACGTAATTATTTTTAATAACTTTTCCGAGAGACGTAAACAGTTTCAACGATGTAATATTATATGACATGCATCTGTTCTTTCCACTAAACTTTAATTCCTTCACTAGTGTTATATTGTAAAATAAGAATTACACTCTTTATGTGTCATAATTAAGTGTGGTGATGTAATAAATAATACAAAGTACATTTTGTGTTTTGATTTATACCCTACAGAGCATATCAAATTAAGTTACCGTCGGAACAAATTTAGTTAGGGAAAATAAAAAAATATTTTTTTGATAAATATAAATTTGTCCAATTTATTACATTGTTTGATGATATATCGCCTATTATTTAAGTTAATTAATTTAATTTAATTTCTAATTCTCACTCCACATAACGGTCAACTCGTGAGCCCGGTCGAGATATTTTGTCTTACCTGTTTCGGCTTTTACGACGTTTTCATCATACGGAATGTAATGCATCAATGTCGACAAAATGTTCTTGACTGTGTCAGGTCCATCACAACTATATCAGGTTTATACGCAAGAATAGTCCAATCTGTGATGATGGCACGGTCATTTTCAAGTAAGGCTTCCGGAAAGTACTTGTAATAAGGCAAGTTCCGATCTACGAAATCGTTTCGAGCAAGATCTTGATCTATAGTCCTAGCTACTAAATTGTGTCTGTAGAAATACTCAGTGTTAAAAAGCACCGAACAACCGGAGATAACACAGGAGGTGATTAAGCGACTCACAGGGATGGTGCCATCCTTTAGGATATATCTCCAATAATATCCTGATAAAACCCTCGGTTTTCCGCAAGAGATTAACAAAACGTAGGCAGTGGAAGGAGGCAACTGTAGCTACGAAAGACTTGTAGAACCTCTAGAGAACTTCCCATTGGGCACCTTCCATACGGTCCCACGGTCGGAAACGCACTTTTCTGGCGGTTCCTGTCATTGCTAAACATAGAGAGATATAAGCTCTTTGTAACACGAAATGACGTCCAAGTAGAATAGATTATCCGTTCTCGTCAGGGAGTAATTACGGAGGCTGCACATTTCACTGTTGTGCATAGTGAGAGTAGCGCTTAAAAAGCCACGCCCATCATATTTCCGCAGTAAGAACAGCCTTACTACGTCCATCTCTGATGATACATCACGTGAGTCGTCATAACAGTATGAACTATTCTATACCGGGCATTAATTTCGGTTTGAGCTTACCTAAGTATGTCAAAGATGTATATGAGAATGATAGTGACCCAACCATTATATGCACCTGCCTGACAAAAGGCTGTTAAGCACTTGTAAAGCGTGCAAAAAACAGCGAATTTATTGTTTCATGTCCGCCTCATCTACCTATGATCTGTGACATACCCAGGTATCGGTATTGATGGACATAATAAGTATACTCTCAGAGTTGTCCTCCATGTTAATAGGGTCGCTATCCCTTCCCTTTCAACATGGAATATTTTTTTTTATAGGAGAGGGGGCAAACGGGCATGCGGCTCACCTGATGGTAAGTGACTACCGCCGCCCATGAACAACCGCAACACCAGGGGAATTGCAGATGCGTTGCCGGCATTTTAAAAAGGAGTAGGCTCTTTTCTTGAAGGTCCCTAAGTCGTATCGGTCCGGAAAAATCGCTGGTGGTAAACTATTCCACAAGGAAGTTGTGCGAGGAAGAAAACATCTAAATCGCACAGTGGTGGACCGCCAATCATCCAGATGGTGTGGATGGTATCGGGAGTTCTGCCGCGATGTGCGTTCGTGAAATTTGGCGGCTGGGATTAATCCGAACAATTCCTCAGAGCACTCCCCATGGTAGATGCGAAAGAAAATGCAAAGAGATGCAACATCTCTTCGCAGTGCCAATGAGTCGAGCCGATCGGAAAGAACTCGGTCGTCGACGATTCGAGCCGCTCTGCGCTGGATGCGGTCAAGTGGAAGGAGCTGGCACTGGGGAGCCCCAGCCCAGAGATGGGAACAGTATTCCATGTGAGGCCGAACCTGCGCCCTGTAAAGTTGCAGGCGTTGAGCTGGCATGAAATACTGTCCCGCTCTGCTGAGCACGCCAAGCTTCTTAGAGGCCAATTTGGCCTTCTCTTCCAAGTGACCACGAAACTGCACGTTACTCGGAATATATAATAGAACAGCTAAAATCACAAGTGACCTTTAGTAATTCCATACGATGGGAGCGACCCGAGGCATAACTTAAGATCATCTCTTAAGAAAATGTGAGTGAGTCACTTTTGGCCCTCCTTTCCGAAGCTAAAATCCTCTCCCATAGCCCTTCAATAATATACTGAGGGGAATCAGAGAGAGGGAAAACCAGATCGGACTCAAACAATCACCTTGAAATGAAAGTTACCCTTACATGTCACAGTACAGCCCAAGGACTCTCTTTCGCCATATATGCATTTGAGTCAAGTCTTGAACTGAATTAAATATCTTTCTTATAGATTTAACCAATAACACGTCTGCACCTTACGGTGACAGGAAAAAATCATAAACAATAAAATGTCTTTCTATAGTCTATTACAACGGTAGAGAACACAAAGGTTGCATTTAATCATTTTGGCAATGATCGCGTCAATGAGGAGTGGTCCCTAGGTTCCCGGACATCAATTATAAGCGCGCAACATCACTTCTCCAATTTAAGTAGAGGTGTCGTGTTATTCTCGCGCTCAAAATGGAATGCTTAGCTGGTCTTTGTGAACCAGATGAGTGGTCCCAAGGGATAAGAGGCTCAAGAGCGACTGACTACTTATTATTACTTTCTGATACTGACTTATAAACTGAAGTTGATTATTGTAGATTCAGTTCTGTAGATGTGAAACGAGTGTGGAGGTGGATTATGGAAAATGAAGCAGTTGATCAAGACTTCATTGAAAGTGAAATGAGCGAAATAGATGGAAGTGAAAGAAGCGAGAGAGGTGGGGCAGGATCGTGAAAAATGGAAGTCCATTGTTTCCACCTACTCTTCAGTGTGTAAAAGTTTATATTATTTAAGTTATTCTATATTATAATATAGCTTATCGGTAAATAAATAATTATTTTTAGTTTTGTAACACTTGTTGGAGAACTTCACATTAATGTTATAGTGAAATACTCTCGCTGACACGAACATACCTAGTTTTCTTCACATTTTTATTTACTACAGAGCACGTCGTAAAACGCCGCTCACACCATTACGTTTGTTAATTTATATTCATTATAAAAACCTATCACAAGTCCACTGTTGAACAAAAACCACCCTCAGGAAACGCACCATTCTACATGATTCCTGCATCCATCGACTTCCTTCATATCTTACAAGATCGTCACTCCATCGAGTGAGGGGACAACCCTACATTTCGCATTTCGGTACGAGACTGCCACTCGAGAACCTTGCTTCCTCATCGGTTGTCGCTTCTTCGAGCTATACGGCCGGCCCATTGCCACGCCATTTGCTTACTGATCAGTTGGGCTACGTCTGTTACTCCGACTTCCTTCATATCTTACAAGATCGTCACTCCATCGAGTGAGGGGACAACCCTACCTATCGGTTGTCGGTTCTTAGTACTTACTGATTCGTTTACCGCCGGCCCATTGCCACGCCACCTTTGCTTACTGAACCGTTGGGCTTCGTCAGTTACTCTGGTTCCGCTGCGAAGTCTATCACACAGAGAAACTCCGAACATAGCCCCCTAGAGCTCGTTGAGTGACATTGAGCTTCTCCACTATGGGTAGACCAGTGTTCAGCACTAGACTTGATAAGTAGTAAAAAGGACTACGCTAGAGAATTAAGGACAACAATAAAAATTAAAACATTTATTATGCTTAAAACATTAACACTGAAATATAACAAATTAAGTGTTTTAAACCATAACGAAGTTATGGAATCTTCCACAATCAGTATAATAACTTGAAATAATAATTTAAAGTACCATCAGCGTATCATTTAAAAATCGTAAATTTATTTTTTATTTTTTAAATGATATGCTGATGGTATTAATTAATATTAACGAAATAATCTATGAAACTTAACATAAAAAAGAATATTATCTTTAAATATATAACACATTGATATATGAAATAAAAGGATAGATATTGAAGAGAACATTCCACAGCAATCCCTTAAAACAACAATGTAATTACATACACATACACTCCTCGAAAACAAAATCTGTTAACCCTCTAACAACACTAAATCTCAGAATCTTCTTTTTACTTTTGCAACGTTTCTTTCGTTTTATCTTTATTAACAAAGTCGAACACGGCTTGCACGTCTTCACGCAGCAGGGTCACCATGGCTCCCTTCTGCCTACAATCATCATGAATAAGCTTGCGAGCGCGTTCTTTCAGATCTTCCATAAATTGCTCGTCCATTTCTTGCGACCTGGTTTTAAAAAAAATACAAATTACAAAAATTAATGGAGTACTTAATTTATAACGTAGCTTATAGAGCCAATAATATTCAATTTCACAGCACGCGAGCAACTCGAGTTGGATCCTTGCCGGTGACAATAAAATTGTTAATTGCAATTTTAAGGTATTGTTTTAGCAAGTGATCGAGGATAAAGAAAAACATCGTAAAAACGCGACAGCTAATCAGGTGATCGTGGGTTCGAATCCCGGGTAGAGATTAAAAATCAGCTTATGCTCTTTCTGTCATGAAATTTTCTGTAGGAGTCCGGAGTCATGAAGTCGGCAGTGTTTCACTCCCATGCATCGGTGATCCGTTGATCTTGCCTAATCACTCTCCGATCGTGTTGGGTTTATCGTTCAATCGAGATAAATAGGTTTAATATAAGAGTGCAAGTGTGTTTGCACACCATTCGTGGACTATTTTTTTATAGGATAAGGGTGACAAGCGAGCACACAATCCACCTGATGGTAAGTGGCTGCTGTGGCCCATAGACATCTACATCTATCTTCGCTTCGAATCAAAATGAAGATGCGTTGTCAGCCGTGAGGACCGAGATGGAATGCCTCTTTTGCAGTAAAAAGGGTCTCCGGTTCTCTCTCTATACTCACCATACAAAACACAGCAACATTAAGCTGCTATTTTACGCTGGTATTCTGTAAGAGCGTGGTCCTTCCCCGGTCGAGGCGACCCATTTCGTGCTACAACTATACTACTAATATAGCTGCAACATGGCTCTACCAAGTAAAAAATCTGTATTTTCATCCGATTATAATGTGGCTGTATTCAAGGCGAGAGTGAATAGATTTATGTTAAGTTTAGTCAGTGCGCTTTACCATCTTTGGCTGCATCACCACATACCATCAGGTAACACAGTAGTCAAGCACAAGCTTATAATGGTATAAAAAGTAGGGTTGTAATGACCTAAACTGAGCATTCGTTGAGGTGTTGTGAGTTTAAGAGACCTCAGTGTTTGCGTAACGAACAAGTGAAAGTGATTAATGATACATTATTGAATGTGAACATATTAAAATAAAATTAGACTTCTAATAAATTAAAGCGGACTTCAAATAACTGAAAAGGGAATATAACTTCCGCATAATGGTGCTAAGACATAGTTATAATGTAAAGAAAATACATCTTTAAAAGCCCTGACTTCTGAAGCTATTATGCGGAAATTATTTCATTTCTTTTTTTATAGTAAAAGACTGGGAAACGAGCACACAGTCCATTTGATGGTAAGTGAATGCTGTGGCTCATAGACATCTACATTTATCCTCAATCAAGTATCAAAATGCAGATATGTTGTCATCCCAGAGGACTAAGATGGAATGCTTCGTTTCCAGTAAAAAGAGTCTCCGGTATTCGACACAACCACTATAGTAAACACAGCAGCATTAAGCTGCTATTTTACGCTGATCTGATTTCATTCTGTGAGAGCGTGCTACCCCTGTTGTATGGTGAGTGTATTGGAAAAGAAGCATTCCATCTTAGTCCTCACGAGGTTAGATGCCGATGTGTATGGGCCACAGCAACCACTTACCATCAGGTGGACTGTGTGTTCGCTTGTCACTGTCAGTTGCTCCTTTTTTTGAAATCGCTTAAAAAGTGGACTGCAAGCTTGGAAAATTGAGGGTTCGAATCCGCACTTCGAATACTTGGTAAACCACTCGTTGCAGATGCATTTTAAGTTTACTTGGGAGCGGTCAAGAGGAGCACTAGTATTGTTAAAAGCGTTACTAGATTTCTTAAAAAAAAACCATGCGGTTATCTAGAGTACACATAGTAAGACAGTCAAATAATTCACCTCCTATCCAGCTCCGAGAATTTGACATCGATCAGCTTAACCATGTCGGTGAGCAAGTCCTTAGCGGCTTGCTTGTATTGAGTAGTGCGTTGCGCTTTCAGTTGATTCAGCTGTTTCTGCGCTTCCACGAACAAGTTAATGAATCTAAAATAACAATTGTTTCAATTATTGACGTATTATACATATAAAATGGAAAACACTGAGTTAAACACTCCAAAACATATAGATGTTTTTTTTTATAAAGGAACACAATTAATTAAATGCCAGTACAATGGGCGGTCTTATCGCATATAAAGATGTTCGCGCTGCAAGAAATTTGAAATAGATTTTTAATGGTCTACTGCTGTCGCTCTCTACTAGAAAGAACGAGCTAGACAACCGAAAGACGCAAATGCAGATCGGATTGTTTGTACCTATAAAATGTTTTTTTTTTTAATTTTATGCTAAAAAAAATTAATATAACACGTTTTTTATTCCTAAGTTGTCATCCGATTCCGAGTTATGCTCAAATTTCAAGTCTCCAGCTCACCGGGAAGTTCTCGAAATTTGAGTTGCAAGATTCCACCTAGGACGACAGACAGACAGTCAGACAGACAAACAAGATAGTGAATAAAATCGTGGTAAAATAACAAAATCATTACATCGTATTCAACATTTGCTCCTCTAAAATCTTCACCCAAAATTTTATTTTTTCAAGAACAAGGGTTGCGGATATGTCTGGTTTTTCTTTTATTTTTTATGTTCGTTGTTTTCTGGATGTCTAATAACAGTGTTGTAACTGGATAGTTTTATTGATTTTGGAAGGTTCCTAGTTTTTTAAATAAATAATTAATGGAAAACACAAAACATAAGAACACGGCAGTGATATGCAGATAAAAAAATATATTTGCTCTAGTGTCTTTATTTAGAGAAAAGAACAGGAATGCTTTTGTATAGATGAAAAGGATTTTATAGCGTTTCATCATCATTATCATCATCATAATCATTACAGCCTATCGCAAGTCCACTTCCACACACAAGCCTCCACCAAATATTTCCACCAAATCTCAACTTCCTGTATGTCTTACCAGGTCGTCATTCCATTTAGTGGACAATCGCCCAACTAAATGGAATCGGAAACAATCGACAACCGCGATTCTTCGAGCGATTCTTTCCATGTAGTGGGGGGACGCCATACTCGAGAACCCTTTTTCTCCATCGGTTGTCGGTTCTTCGAGCTATATGGCAGGCCCATTGCCACTTCAAGTTACTGATCCGTTGGGCTATGTCGGTTACAGTCAGTAACTCTGAGAATAGCCCACTCCATAGCTCCCTAAGCAATTTTAAGCTTCCTAATACGGTCAGCAGTGTATGCGAGTATATCTATAGTAATGCTTCTATGCACTGCGGTGTAGTGTATGTAATATAGGAAACCCGATATTGAATATAAAGAAAACAAAGAAATATATTTAAAAATATATCTTACTTCTTGTTTGTATTATGATGTATTTCCACAAGTGTTGAGTCTAATTTTTCTATTACATTTAGTATGTTCTCTTTATAAGCGAAATCAAGTGATTGAGCTGAAAAATGATTCTACATTAGTTCAGAAAAAAAAACGGTATGTTATACTTAAGCAACAGAATAGTACCTCTACTAGTCGTAGGAACAGTTCTTTGAAGCCAATCGTTCACACTGGAAATACTTGGATGGCTGTCCGATATTTTCTGAGTATCGTCGACTTCGACTTTTCGTTTTTTACTATCTTGAGATGTCTTAATAGATTTTATTTTGATTGGAGTTTTCTCCGAAACCCTCGAAGCGTTAATTATCGTGGACGTACTCGACTCTATATCACGGACTGCTGACGGTATCCTTAACCAGTAATTTATATTTTCAAGTGGATTTTCTACACTTTCAACGACTGACTTAGTAGATTTACTTTTGACTGAAGCTTTTTCCGAAGCCCTTGAAGCGTTGATTTTCGTGGATGTACTCATCTTGGAATCTTGACTCGATTCTATCTTATGGACTGGAGGTGGGTTTTGTACACCATCAATGGTTGAAGGAACTTTTTTTTTATTATAAAACAAATTTCTTATGTGCTTAATGTAGTCGTTTGATTCCGACGTGATAGAATTTTGTTTTGCAATTGCTTTAATATCATCGAATAACTTTATAGGTGAAATTTGTGAATTACGGAAATCTTTTTTTTCTGTCGATTTAGTACATTCTTTCGATTTTGTTATGGAAATGTTAGAATTTTTTGTTCCATCAACAGTTTGATTTGAAACGCATGGTTCTAAGTTATTCCTAAGATCTATTGAAATTGACGCTGAATCAGAATTGGGATGTGATGGCAGCCATTTAATAATTTCTTCTGATGATAACCTTGTTACAGACACTAATGGAGACATTAAAATTCTTGTGTCAGTATGTTTACCAACAGCTTTGTCTTCGTAATTACTCAGACAGCTTTCCCTAAATTTTGATTTAGGATTATCTTCTATATTGTGAGATTCTTCAGTAATTTGTTTGTTAAGATTAACAAAGAAATCCTTTATGGATTGATTTAAATCATCTACTTCTAAATTTCTAGGTTCTATATTTGTTTCCAAAAACTCACGACTTGGAGGTAAATCGTCTTTGCACAAATCAAGACCTCCGTGCGCAGTTATAGGAGAAGTGCCAACAGTATCAATAGATTTTTCTAAATTTATTTCTGTATTTCCTGATATATTTATTATTTCACTACTTGAATTCATTTCATTTTGATTACTGTCATAGTTTAATCTTTTATTTAACTCCTTCTGAATAATAAATTTATTGCTTTTATTATTTTTCCTACTTTTTTCGGTTTCCTTAATAAGCCCCTGTTTTTCTTCTAATGGGGATGTTTTCGATGTTGGCCATAAACATTTAGGTATTTGATTTAACCCTTCAGTAATATTAAACATATGTGAACAGCTATTCTGCTCATTGTGATCATCATTTTTATCCACGTCAGACAGCAAATTTTGTGTTGTATTTAATTCACACCCTATTGTATCAAGTCTTTCTTCGTATATTTTTTTAAATTTTTGTATCATGTTAGGTGTGAATGAAGAATCATTAGCGGTATCTTCATGGGATGGTTTCATGTTTTCTACGACTAATACGGGAAGAGGACTTTCAGTTCTACCGGTTGTGTCGTTTAATAAAGTTGTTTTTTTAATTTTCTTTGAATGTTTTTCTTTATTCAACGAAAGTGCCTTTTCGTTTCTCTTTTGCCTTTTCTTCACTCTGTTGCCTTCAATATTTTCTGTTATTTTTACTTCATCATCCGTAATTCCTTCCATTTTATGTTCCATCGCCAATTTGGGTTCAGGTTCCTTACTAACTTTACTTTCTAGTGATTTTCTAATTTCTAACGATGTATTTAAAACGTCTACAGCAGCATCTCTCATACGTTCATCAATAAGTTGCTCCGCAGACTTTTCAAATTTAATAATCGCTTTTGAGCGGTTGTTTCGTTTTCGCTTAACATTAGCCTTTTTCTTATTTTTATCTTTAATCGACGGAGTATTAACACTGCCGTCTGCAGCTATACTATTGCGCTTTACCGTATTTATTTTAAAGTCACTATCTTCGCTATCGCTAGGAAAATTATAAATTGAAACGTCATTTTTTTTATCAACCAAAATAATTTTTTCATTGTTTTCGCTATTATTTTTTACTTTATCAAATAGATCATTCATTTTCTTTGTTTTTGGTGACAGACCTATTTTTTTGGTTTTCCTGTTTCGCAATTTTTGTTTATATTCCATGCGCTCATTCTCTATTTCTTTATAGCATGTTATTTTAGATTCGGATTGATCCAGTTTTTCAATAGAGGTAGCTTTGCTAACATTTTCGCAATCACTGTTCCAGTTTTCATTACATTTTTCGTCTTTTGGGGAATACAATTTACGCTTTCTTCGTATAAGAGGTTTATCCGTTTTATTATCTGTAGACTCTTTATTATCAGAGACGTTTTCGTTACATTCATTTATTGCATTTTTATCCCTCTTAGTTGTTATAATTTGATTAGGTTGTTCCTCTACGGCTAATTTATTTTTTCGTCTTGGTAAACGAGTTGCCTTCTTTGTAGCTTTGAATTTTAACTTAATACCCTCAACTGGCTTAGTGTTATTTTCTTTAGGACTTGAATACCCAAGATCATAGTTCTGTGTCTTTGAAGCATCAGCCTTGTTGTGGCTGATTTCTTCGCACGTTAATTCTAAATCTGAGTTTAGATTTTGTGTACACTTGTCAAGTTCATTACAGATTTTGTCTATCATAAAATTTAAGCACTCAACGATTTCTAAATCAGGAATTAGTTGCCGATTTGTAATCATATCCACCTCAAGGCAACAATCATCCAAATGTTCACTACTTTCAGAACTAGTCTCGTTTATTCTCTTTGCCAACGTTGGGCTTATAACTAATTCACGATTACGATTTTCAGTAATATGTTGAGAAAAAAATTCTTCAACGGTCTTCTCATCAACAGTTTTCATCGCTGAAATTTCTTTGGCAGTCTCTATGTTAGACAATTGTGCATTTTTTCTCCTGAGCTTTCTTCTTTCAAAATTTATATTACTCAATTGTGTTCCCTCTACAATATCATTGTTAGACTCTTCAGCAGAAGTGGAGTTACTAATAACTGTACAATTTTTAACTTTTCCACCAGTAGTTGATATTTTGGTAATAGGAGATTTGTTTGTAATATTTTCTTTAACTTTTATAAAATCCTCTTGGGTATCTAAAGCCTTATTTTCGCTGTGATTTATAATTTCACTCTGTAAAGCTTCTTGGACCAAAACGTCTATTAAAATATCATCATTGTAATCTTTAATTTTTGATAATCGTTCTAAAGTATCGTTTAAAACAGATTCGTCCGCAGATCCAACAGAAGCAACTAAAAGACAACTAACCGGTTTTTTTTCATTTGTCGCTGCTGGTGACAAACGGGTTTTTTGAACTTTTAGTTCTTTGCCTTTGTCGATTTCTGTGCTCTTTTCTTCCCCTCTAAAAAAACTTTTCTGACTGATGCCATATCGACTTGTACTTATGTTTTGACTTTGATGATCATCCACTTCGCTCACTTCAGTGACGCTGGACAATTGGGGTCTAGCACATAAACTTACGGGTTCTTTATCGTAATTGTACCGCGGCAATGCGGCTAATTTTTCGTGGAGCTGTAAAAGTAATTTTAAAAAATACACATTTTAAGAGTGCAAAATACAATGTTGTGATGTAAGAGGAAGGTGGTAAGAGCAACGTCTATTAAACTAGCATTGTGGAGTCAGTAGAGTCTCAATTTTTTTTCTATTAATTTAGTGCAAATTTATTTATTTATTTAATATTTATTGCGTCCCTAAAACTAAAGGAACATACAAATAGACGTACAAAGGGCGAATTCAATGCCTTGAGGCATTCTCTATCAGCCAACCCATGGAGTGGTGAGAATTTGACGTATTTGTAGCAATATACAATAAAAAAAAAATACAAATGATAATTAACTACGTAAAACAAATTTAGTGACGCATAAAAAATGGATTTATAAGCACTACGTGTTCAGTGATATGTGTTTTCTTGATATATCAAGCTACGCGGACGAAGTCGCGAGTAGCAGCTAGTAATTAATATAGGTCTTATTAACATCGCTCTATTTGCTATCATTACTGTTATTATTACTATTTTCATCCTAGTTAGATACTTTTATATGTATAAAATATAAATTGCTTTCCAAATTACGACTTTTATTATTTACCATAAGCATGTAAAAATTTAGATGTATTTTTTTGTTTAATTATTAATGTAATTTAAATATTGTGAAAAGTTTACAGATGGTTTTCCCTTAGGTAAATAAAACCCATGCGGGCGAAACCGCAGGGCAAAGATTGTACTTAAAATAACATGTAACATACTCAAAGCTAAACTTTGAGTAATTTCTTACATGTGCTAATGAAGACGTTGATGCTGTGGATGGAGATACCCACGGTCCAGGTCTTCCGGCATTAGTATAACCTGAAATATAGAAAAAGAATGATAGGATAGTAAGAAAAACAATTTATTTTTAAATACAATAAAAATATACGGTTTTAAATATTCATGTACATAAAAGTAGTGTTAACAAGAAAAATTTGACGAAAAATTCGAGTAGAAAATAAAATAGATTCAGGGCAAATAAATGTCCGCAGCGCTGCCCCAACTCGTTTTGGCGGACTTATATGTTTTCCATTTTTTTAAATTCTCTGTCCAGGTTTCCTCACGGTGTTTTCCTTCACCGCTGAGCACATATCAGTATATTGTGAAAAAATATATAGAGAATTATTTCTTTTGAGAACTTTTAAATTATTTCGTATGCTAAGGCTAAGTATACGAATTGGCCACTTGTAAACGATATAACAAAAAAATAAATTCAAATTTTGAAACTAGAACTCTTTGCCAATATTATTGTGTATGTATTTTATTAATTTGTCATTTGTTTACTCTTATTTTCGTACAATGATTTTTTATGACTTTCGATGTCATTAAAGTCAACAAGACAGTTATGATAGATTTCGATTGGCCTTTCACGATGAAGCCCAATCTCGTGCCACTGTTTACAACTGGTTTAATGAGTTTAAACGTGGTCGCACTAATCTCAACGATGATTTGCGTGAGGGACAGACTACTTCGGCGACGACTGATGATAACATAAAGACTTTTAAAGACTTTTGTTACGCCACACTGTAAAACAGTGGCAGGTCATCACTCGCCATTGTACAGAATGACTAATAGTTATAATAATATTCGTGATTTGTTCGACATATTTCACGGTTCTAAGGCCTCAGTAAGGACTAACATTAGATTAGCCATTAATTAATTAATATTTATTATTTAAGAGTTTTTTCATTTCTTAATTTTTGTTTGTTATCATGTCCACTTGTTGCATGCTGTGTTCACTGTTATTAGAATGAACGTTTGTTTGTTACTTTTTTATGTTACCTGAACCATGTAAACGTTACATTCCATTTGTGAACCAAATAAAAAAAAAATATAACATCAGTGTTGTGCGGCGTATGATAGAGACTGACAAAAGAGTGACTTATCAGCAGATTCGGACAAGCTTAGGCATCGGTATAAGTCAAATGCACCAAATTCTCCATGAACATCTAGCGGTCAGGAAGCTTTGTGCCCGGTGGATACCTCATAATTTAACAGAAGCCCAAAAACTCCGTCGTGTTGATTAATTGGTGTCGTGAAATGGTTCAAAGATTTAAAGGAGGTGACTCAAATGCTGTGTCCGAAATACATACGGGTGACGAAAACTGGATTTATTGTTATGATCTTGAAACTAAGATACAGTCTGCTGTCTGGGTGTTTCATTCCGAGCAGCTGCCAACTAAAATGAAGAGAGATCGAAGCGTGGGATAAAAGATGGTGGCCTCGTTCTTCGGAAGGACAAGTCATTACACACCGATTGTTTTAGAGGATCGAAAAACAGTTAATGCAGAGTGGTACACTAACATTAGTTTGCCACTTGTCTTGAATAAAGTTCGGAAGAAACGACCTTGCAGTAGGATCCTCCTTCACCACGACAACTCCTCGTCTCACACCGCCAAGCAAACAATCGACTTCTTGGCGACGTTCGACGTGGAATATTACTAGGTCACCCGCCCTATAGCCCCGACCTTGCGATATATAGACTAACTAGTATAGACCTTGCGAGTTTTATTTATTTCCGAAAATAAAAGAAAAACTTCGAGGAAAACGTTTTATGGACGCCGAGGAAGCAGCGGCTGCGTCTCAAAATGCCGCCGAAGAGTCCCCTAAGGACGAGTGGGCAAAGTGCTTTTCTCAGTGGTTCCATCGGATGCATAGATCATCATCATCATCATCATCATTACAGCCCTTCACAAGTCCACTGCTGAACATAGGCCTCCCCCAAAGAATGCCACAAAGCACGGTCCTGAGCCACCTGCATCCATCGACTTCCTGCATGTCTTACCAGGTCGTCACTCCATCTCGTGGGGGGACGCCCTACACTTCGCCTACCGGTACGAGGCTGCCACTCGAGAACCTTTCTTCCCCATCGGTTGTCGGTTCTTCGAGCTATATGGCCGGCCCACTGCCACTTCAGCTTACTAATCCGTTGGGCTATGTCGGTTACTCTGGTTCTACTGCGGATATCCTCATTCCTAAGTTTATCACGCAGAGAAACTCCGAGCATAGCCCTCTCCATAGCTCGCTGAGCGACCTTGAGCTTCCTCATACGGCCAGCAGTGAAGGACCACGTCTCAGTTCCATAAGTCATCACTGGCAACACGCACTGGTTGTACAATTTCGTTTTCAGGTTTTGAGGTATGTCTGACGAGAAGATGTGTCGTAGCTTCCCGAACGCTGCCCAGCCGAGTTGAATCCGTCGATTGACCTCTCGGTCGAAGTTGGACTTACCTAGTCGGACTATTTGTCCCAGGTAAACATACTCGTCAACAACTTCGAGCTTAGTGCTCCCAACAACTACCGGCATAGGTGTGACATGGACATTGAACATGATCTTTGTTTTGTCCATGTTCATCTTAAGACCTATTCGTTGGGAAACACTGTCGAGATCATTGAGCATAGTGCTTAGGTCCTCCAGCGATTCTGCCATAAGGACTATATCGTCGGCAAATCGAAGGTGAGTGATGTACTCGCCATTGATGTTGATACCGTATCCTTTCCAGTCCAGAAGCTTGAAAACGTCTTCCAATGCAGCGGTGAAGAGTTTCGGGGATATGACGTCACCCTGTCTTACACCTCTCTGCAATTGGATAGGTTTCGTACTCTGGTTCTGTACACGGATAGCCATCGTAGCCCTACTGTACAAGCACTTCAACACTTCGATATACCGACAGTCAACTTGGCACCGCTGAAGGGACTGCAGCACCGCCCAAATTTCGACGGAATCAAAGGCTTTCTCATAGTCCACATACGCCAGACATAGTGGCAAATTGTACTCTTCGGACTTCTGTACAATTTGCCGAAGGGTATGTATGTGGTCTATGGTGCTAAAGCCCTTTCGGAAACCGGCTTGTTCGGGAGGCTGGAAGTCGTCAAGTCTGCGCGCGAGACGATTCGTAATGACTCTCGAAAACAGCACGTAGACGCGGCTCAGAAGGGAAATCGGTCTGTAGTTCTTCAAGAGAGCGTTGTCACCTTTCTTGAAGAACAAGACCACCGCACTTCTGCTCCACGCCTCCGGTGTAATGCCACCATGGAGGACGGAATTACAGAGCTTCTGAAGAACTTCAAGTACCGGTCTTCCATCCGCTTTCAGAAGCTCCGCTGTAATTCCATCCTCGCCTGGGGCCTTACCGTTTTTAAGGTGCTGGAGAGCCATTCTAATCTCGCTCAGACTGACGTCCGGGATATCTTCGGAATAGTGTCGGATGAGACACGCTCTTGGATCGTTACTCACACTTGCGTGTGGCTCCAACGATGACGTGTACAACTGCCCATAGAACCTCTCAATCTCACTCAAAATCTCAGGTGTCCCGGAAACGATGCTGCCACATCCTGTCTTCAGCTTTGACAGGTGGCTCTTTCTGGCAGACAGATCTCTGGCAAAGACTTTGGAGCCTTGGTTCCGCTCGATCGCTTCTTCAATACGAGCTGTATTGAAGTTGCGTAAGTCCCGCCGCATGCATTTGGAGATCTGTCTGTTCAGTTGCCTGTATGCTGTCAAGTCTGTTGAAGAATGTAGCTTCATCTCCCGTCTAACAGCCATGAGATTAAGAGTGTGATCGGAGAGTTTTTGTGTTCTTCTGCGGCGGGTCTTGCAGAACTTAGCTCCGACCGCATGGACAGTTTCCACGAGCTTGTCATTCATATCGTCCACTTCATCGCAGTCTTCTAGGCACTGAAAACGGTTTTGTAACTCGAGCTGAAAGGTTTCGGGACTTTGGAACAGAGCACGAGGGGGACGGAGCGTTGACTTCATTAGACGAGACCTCTCCAACTTAACGTTTAGGTTCAGTGTGCCTCTAACCATTCGGTGATCGCTACCAGTTTTCACCCTCGCGATCACGGAGACATCACTGAACAGTTGTCGTCTGGTCGTCATAATGAAGTCAATCTCATTTTTTGTCGAACCGTCGGGGCTTGACCAGGTCCACTTCCTGTGGGGCCGCTTCTGGAAGAAAGAGTTCATCATAAAGAGTCCCTCTTTCTCCATGAAGTCGGCCAGCTGCTGGCCCCTTGGGTTCCGTTGCCCTATTCCAAATTTCCCTACTTTCAGCTCACCGTTCTCTCTTGTGCCTAGTTTTGCATTGAAGTCTCCCATTAACACCGTATATTGGGTTTTGGAGGAATGCATGGCTCTAGAGATATCCTCATACATTTCCTCCACCTCCCCATCGGGGTGTGCCGAGGTTGGTGCGTATACCTGTATGACCTTCAGCGAATACCGTTTGGTGATTCTGAGTATAAGGTACGCAACCCTCGTCGACACACTCCCGATCTTTACAACGTTGTTAACGAGAGACTTGTGGACGATAAATCCGACACCTCCTTGGGACAGATGGTCGCCCTCCCGGTGATAGAGCAAGTTGCCGGATTCGAGGATTACCGTGTCCTCCCCCTCTCTTCGGACTTCGGATAATCCTATAATATGCCAGCGCAACTTGTCTATCCCTTCTTCCAGCTCCACGATCTTCTCGTCAGTCCTCAGGGTGCGCGCGTTGTACGTTGCCAGGTCGAGTCGTCTAAGGTGGCAACCGAACCTCCACCGGAGATTCTTATCACCCCCTAGATAGATGTATTGATGTAAATGGACACTTTTTTGAAAAGATATAATAAAACTAATAACTTGCTAGTTTGTTCAGTTTTTGATTTTCTAAGAACTTTCAGTGTCACCCTCGTAGTTAACTAACAAGAAACGCAGCCAACATTATTGGCATTATACCAACTGTGGGGAATAGGACTGTAGGATAATTTAAGTTTTTTTTTTAATCGTGGTAATAAGTATCTATTGTATAATTTTATGTTATCTATCCTTAATA